AGCTGGGTTTAGACCGTCGTGAGACAGGTTAGTCTCACCTCACGTTGATCGAAACCGGATTCGGCTATAAATTTATCCCGATCAGGTATCTACCGCTTCTGATCAATTTTCGGCGGTGTGATTTTCTCAGTAGATGTAACCTTGCTGGTAGTGCTCTTGGTATTAATTTGGTCACTTTTCGTTGTTTCCTGAACTTGATTTATCTCCTCCAATGTGGTAGTATTCATGTTCGCCGGATCGGGTTTCGAACGAAGAAGGTCCTCCACACAAGAACTCATGTCTGCCAGATACGGCCGATATGAGTCTTATTTGTTGTCTTCACATGTCAACTGTTTTAAGTTACTCGTTACTGTGTTTTTCATCAGCTTTATGCCTGATTGTCAGTTGCGTTTATGGTAAATTCAACCATACAACTTTCATGTGTATATGCATTATGTCTACACGCAGTCATTTATTATAATTTTATTGAGTACTATTTACACTATTTACATACATAACATATTTACATATTCAATCAAACATTAACATACCACGGTGAAATAGAAACAATCATAAGCATACAATGAAAAGTGTTTTTATATTTCGCTATACAATATTAAATATAATATTTTCATACATATTTTGCACTATTTACACTATATATATACATAACATATTTACATACTCAGTGTTTGTTAAATAAAAACAATGCAACATTGGAATAAAAACACTCATAATCATACAATGAACAGCATTCAAAAAAATCGCAATGCATGATAGGCATAGAAAATTCTTTTTTCTCATTATCATTCCTTGTCATCAATTCTGAAATCTGCTGAATTTTACTATTTGTCCTCATCAATTCAATTTTGTGCTACATTTGTGATTTGAATATAAGTTTCATGCATACGATAAAAGTTTGACTTCTCTTTTTCGATTTATCTTTCAATTCATTTTGCTGCTCTGGTCGTGACTATGGTTGGTGCGACCATCGGAGGTCAGATTCATACCGTTCCATGCGGCTGCTTCCCTTGGCACGTTTTGCAGTGGCACGCTCCTTTGCACACTTGACATGGGCATGTTTTCATCGGTCCAAAATCGAACTCTCGTCCATAATTCCATTGCAGCTCTTCTCCAGGCGCAATCTTGCGGATTGTTTTCAGCAGAAAAAATACGGATTCACCTAAAATCGTTGGA